TATCTATACCTAACATATCAGTTTCATTATTTTTAACAAACCATTTGCTGATTTTCGACAGCTCGTTGACAGGTTCATATCAATATTTGAAGCTAAAAAAAAAGAGTTTTAGGAAACGAGGTTCGATTATTATATTAATAAATCCACGGCATAACAATTCAAGAGGGTTAAATGTCAGACGAACAAAGTCTTAGCGGTAGGTAAGGGGGTGTTTCTAATTAAGAAGCAGGCTTCCCTCAGAGGATTTATCAACAATGAATGCCTACTTAATATATTAACAACACAGAAGTTGGGCCAACCCATTGTCGCACGCGCAGGTTTCAAACTTCAACAATGGGAACATGTTGCCGCAGCCTGCTCCTGGTAAAACTCTTATTCATATACATCCTGTAAACAACAGAGAGCTCTTTCCTGGAGTTCCTTCTTGTCGTTTCTGGGGTTATGGAAAATATCCGGGTCTCTGCCATCTGGAGAAGCTCTGGAAATTGTTTGAGTTTGTCTAAGTCGATTGGGTCAATACTTCTTGTCTTGCCTTTTTTATCCTTCATGCAGTAAAAAAAAAAAATGTATGAAAATCCAAAGTAAAATTTATCATGAAATGCACTGAGCATGCGAGTATGGCTCATGGCGTATAACTAATAAGTAATCTTTATAAAAGTAGTATTTTATTTTTTAAAATTGGTCAAATACCCTAACAAGTATTATTAGACAACATTAAAATTTGTATAAGGTATAGGAATAGAGTTAAGTAACAGTTTCTCTCCCAAAAAAAATGTTCTTAATTTTGTATGACAATTTAGGATCACTTTATTATCCCATCTTCAGACATATCTCTTCTTTCTAACATATAATTTTTTTTAAAAAGACTTCATAAATTCTATTTTATAAATTATCCCCTCCTCTAGGAAGAGCCTAGTCAGACACTGAATATAATAAAGTGACCCCGAAACGTCATAAACTTTTATTTTTGGGGGGGAGAGGGGAAGAGTAACTGTTATTTAACATTATTCATATACATCATATAAATAAACATCTCCCTTTGGACTTTTGAAAAATTTAAATTTTTTATTAAAAATTATGATTTTATGAAATAATTTTTTTTTCAGTTTCATCTGTCAAATGTTGTAGACATCCAGCGAATTTATATAGCTGAAAATGGTTTATACGGGCTGATAAACATAAGAAAGAGAGTAAAATCTAGTTACAACTCTTCCTGTCTTGATTTTATAGTGAAGTAGAGAGATCTGTTTTCCATCTCCTTTTTGGTATTGTACTAGTATCATTCGGCCATTGAGCATTCCGTACGTTGGAATAAGACGTTGGATAAAGAACTTTTTTTATAAACAAGGGTAATTGAATGAAGCCAATGAAGAGATACTAACATGTCATTTTCATTCTTTCAACCAAACCATCCACTGATTATCAACAGTACAGATTAATGTTTGAAGACAAATAAATTAATACTAAAAAAAAATTGAAATACACAGATACGGCTTTAAGCCTCACGTTTTGATGACAATTATTATTACTATATTAATAATTCAAATTTAAATTAGAACTCTTTTCATTTTTCGCTATGATAAAATTTAAAATCTCCCCTCCATAATCTACGCTAATAATATAAAATATTTTTTTCTTTTGATGATAAAAGTTCTTTAATTTATTAGAAAGCTAATCTAATTTCCTTTATATATATATATATATATATATATATATATATATATATATATATATATATATATATTTTTTTTTTTTTTTTTTTAATTAAAAATAACTTTGCGTGGAAGAAAAATGGCATTCCTTTACTCATCCTGTAGAAAGTATATTTTGTTTTTAATAATTATTTATAATTATTCCGCGCGGAAGTTATTATTTATAAATTGATTTGGTTACGTAGGACGATATGCCGAGGACAGTACCCGCAGGTAATAGAATCATGATATAAAGATAATACGCTCAAAGGAAACCCATGCTTTCCCATCAAAGGAACCCGAGACGAACGACGACCTCCCGCACTTATTCAGCAAACCAATACATCTCGATATCGATCAATGATTTATAAACTATTTCTAATGTTTAAAGTTTAACATAACCGCTTGGAAAGAGGTAATTATAGGGAAGCAGAAGTTTGCTTGGGAAACAAGTCGCCAGACCGTTCTTTAGAAGCAGAGGCATTTCGGCAATAAAGTGCTCCAAGACAGTTATGAAAGATTCATAGCTCTCCCTATTGTGTTTGACGACGTAGCTCCTTTCAGCTGAATATTTAAAACCGGGCGGCTGGCCCGAGTTACTTTTCCACAACTGCAAACAGCTCAATGCAAACACAAAACAAAGTCTTACCCGTTAATGAAATGTTTCAAGTATCAATACCACAGTTCTAATATCATTTTATAAAAGGCAAAAAAAAAAAAAGTAGGACAAAACTCTCGTTAAAAGAAAAAAAATAAAGGACGAGTTAGGCTTTTCATTAACGCAGTAAAGTAAACCTGCGAAAAGAGATAAATTAAAGTCAAACAACATCTGAAGAGTACTCATTCATTCTGCGCCCGCCGAATTATTATGATTACAGAGTTATACTTTTTTACAGAGAGAGTGGAACTTTTTTTTTTTATGTTCAGTTTTATTTTTTTATAAACTCGACCAAAGGAAGATCTCCAGTCTGTAAGCGATCCTTCCGTTGGCAAATTTCGTTCACTATCGCTAACTTCCTCAATTGCTATTGTTAACTGCAAGAGAATTATTAGCAACAGTCGAGAGGTTTTGCATTTTTTCATTCATTGTGAGGAGCATGGAAAAGGACGCTATTGCGGGAAGTAGCGCTCCAATCAGTGGAGCACTGGATTGTCAAGAGCGTTCCTCACTCTACCATCCGCATAACTCCCCTCCTCACCCCCTGCTTCTGAAGGTTTAACTTTCCTGCACTTGCATCTGATCGATATTCTATTCAGAGCAGCCTGCCAGCAATGCGAGAATGGAAAATTTGTTATACTGGCTCTTTAACCTGCTGTTCCTGGTTCATATACATCTTCAAAAATTAGGCACCATTACATGGGACTAAGAAAAATAATTTAAAATTCCATCGGTCCTCAAAGAAATAAATTTTAACAGGCCGGATTCGAAACGACATGACCAGGCTGGAGTTACTAAGGTGACGCCTTAACAATTTCAGCCACCACGGCCTCGAATACTAAACTACATGAATGCAAAAAAAAAATTGTCTTCAACATATCTTGGACATTAAAAATTAAATCGATTGTAATGACTATGAATAGAATTAAAATTTGCTTGATTGCTAGTCATTAAACTTGCCAACTTTAATTCGATATTCATATTATCCTAATAATAAGATAACACTTCAATTATCCTTGCAAGGTTAAATAGGTTTAATTTAGTTCTTGGTCTAAAAAAATTTGTTCAATGATTTCGAAAATTCAGTGTCAACTTTTTCTAGGAAAATAACTTAAATCGAAAAATTGTCGCGATGAGTTATCTGTATCATGATCCTCTTCCAATTCTTTTGCACAACGTGATAACTTGGCAGCACTAAAGTATCCATGCATACTTCAAAAGCTAGAGAGATAATCTCAATATACAGGACTCATAAAAACGATTTTTCACCTTAACAACTTATTTCTTCTAACCATACCATACCATACCATACCAATTACGCCTCAGAAATGACCAACGAAAACAAAACATCTTATTCTGGGCGAAAAGATTTCTGTTTTTTTTTAGGAATATTTTATAACCATTTTTAACATATTTTTGGATTCTTTGACTCGGAATCGTAAACAGATTTCTTGATCTTATTTTAAAGGGACGTAAGTTTTATTCAAGAAAACTTCGCATTATCCTCCAACGATTCCTCCAGACTTTCATTTCTTAATAGAGCGTAACCTTGATTCTTACTTTCTAATGGATGGATCTAATTAAGAACACTTTTTCCATCCCACCAGTCATAAGTATAATTCGCCGTCTGTTTATGAGCATCAACATTTAGGTTAGGTTAATCAAATTAAATTTTTATTATATTATAAAAAAAGGATTATAAAAAAATAACCTTATACAAAATATAATTTCCGTTATTCCTAAAGAAAATTAATTAAGCCATATCATTTGTATTATTCTAATAAATTAGTTGTTCTTGATAATTGGTAGATAATAATCAATAAAATGTTAAATCTAATAAAATTCAATTAACTAATAATTTTTTTAATGCAAATAATTAAACTTATCTAATAAAATCTTAAAAGCCAATATTATCTTATCACTTAAAAGAGATTTTCATGCTATTTTCAGTAATATATGGTTTAACAAGGGGTTTTCAGAGAGCCATTTTAGTTAGAATGCCACTTAGGCAATATTTACCTCATAATTAAAAAATATTAATTTTCATATTTTAGAATTGTTTTATCCATACATAATAAAAAATTATGATGAAGGCTGATACATATACCATCATCTGAATTTACATGAAATGTAGGAATGGCGAATATTTTTTTAAAGTTCCAGTTAAATATTGATTTCGTCAAATTTTCGAAGTTCAAATATCTGAAAAGTTCAAATGGCAATAATTTTCAAACTACCCAATTCAGCAAAATATGACTTTTTATTTGAGTATTTGATTTAACGTAGATAAATTTTCATTAAAATGTGTGGGGATGTATACCAAATAGGCTGATTGATTTTGCATGGTTTGGCCGATGCGTAATTTATTTTTTATTTCAAACTTTTGTACAATGGTAAAATAATTTATATATTACTGACAATGTTTTGTTTTTTCAAATAAGCTGTTTGTACTGTTTCATTTCACGCAGGTTAATTTATTAAATATTCAGAATTCCATAAAAACCGAGCTATAAGTAAAGTCCCACGATTGAATTCAACATTGCAAATTCCCAAAGTTGGAAAATCTGCTATTAACCATGACTTTTAGTATAAAGCAGATCTGTAGTTTTTATGTTATCACTCTCGTATTGTATGAAAATAAAGGAACTTACCTTTTGAAGAGATTCGATTGCCGCAGCGTTTGACTTGACTTCGGACCTGAGGGTTGAAAGCTGGGATGTGACGGCTTCCAAAGCTGCACCTAGTTCGGAAACCTGCCCCCGTGCCTCGGAGACGCTGCTTTCCAGCCAACTTGTTCGCATCTCGGCGTTTTTCTCCTGTCTCGTCCGTTCTCGGAGTTCGGCCAGCTCATTTCTGTAAACGAAATAAAAAGAACGATAAAGAAGCTGTCAAGATGGAAAAAAAATCATAAAACAACTATATTGGACATTTCTGTTGGACTCGAATACTAGACCCATAAAGAAACCAATATTCATTTATAAATAGTTTTCTTAAATGCTGAAAACGGATATCACGCATTGAGAAAGTTCTCAGGTAAATTGTGAAACATCAATATTATAACTTTATATTTTAAAACCCATACTTGATTGCAACCAATAGAAACCGTCCGAAGTTTTCGACTACTGCAGCACTTACCACACAAACGCTCTAAACTTCCAACTATTAACACAAGACTCATGTATATTACTATAATAAGACCTATCTGGACATAAGGAGTTGAGATTTGGGACTCTACTAAACCATCAAATTTCTCTCGTAACCAATCTCTACAATCCAAAATCCTTCATAAAATCCTCAATGCTCCCTAGTTTGTCATCAATAAAATCATCCACAACGACCTAAATGTACCGTATGTTTCCGATTTAGCTCAATCCAGATACCTATCCTTCCATAATAAACTTCTGAACCATCCGTCTTATTTTCAACCTTGCTTCCTCTTCTATTCCTAATAACCCTACGAGGCGTCTGAAAAGAAGAAGGTCTCGGGGCCTTCTAATATAGAAATATAATTGGAGTGCTATCAATAGATAGTTTCTCTTCATGTTGTACATGTCATGTTACTTATTTCATATTTACTTTTTGTATTTATCATTTAATACATTTGTAAATTTCAATAATAAAAAGAAAAAGAAATTTAGAAATTGGAAACGTAAATCTTTTCACTGAATCTGCCTATTATTTATGTAGGTGAAAGACACGACAGCTAACTATCGGCCAACATGTACGTACTCTTCACTTTCCATTTCATAATAAACTATAAGGATACAATAGCAGACTTATAAACGACATGGCCAAAAGTGACCAACCCATCTGAAGGTGATTAAAAAGAACATGGATAAGATATCTCCTTTCTTTATTTAAGAAACTAAATAAAGACCGCGAAAAAGTTCTGTTGGGTACTACCCTTCCTCAAGCCTAAAAAAACAAATTTAACACCTTTTCTGATTTTCACATCTGTAACACATATGAATCAAGATGTAAGGAGAAAAAACTATTGTTATTAGAAGAATTTACTCCCCAAAGTAGGTATAGTTAAATCATTTATTTAATATTTCAGGAGAAAACTGTAGGATTTAAACCCATTTTTATAAACCATGATTCGTAATAGAAATATACTACAAGATCAAACATCTATGGCCCTAAAGAATCTATTATTTCACTCTCTGAAAAAAGGTTATAAGAAAAAACAGATATTGCTCCTCTTCATTCTTCAAAATGGATTGGTTTTCAAAGTAATAGGAAAAATAAAAATATAAAATAAATGGAAACGATGACAATGGCCTGTGGTAAAATGAAAGGCATTTGTAGCAAAAGCAAAGGGGAAATCTTTTCCTTCACGGAATAAAAGAGGAAAAAACAACTAAGAATGAGAAATCATTTAAAATATTAAATAAAAGGTAACGTCTTGGTTAAATCCAAGGAAAAAGGCCTATGTTTTCTTGTTGTTTTCTTCTTCAAAGATGACATCTGCCCTGAATTAGAGAAGTTGTTGAATGTTTTAGTAACATTTTCGACGAATTATGAGGCGAGGAAATGAATAAGCGAAAGGTAAAACTCGAGCAATCGAGGAATGTTCTTTATCATCGTAATAATTTGGAGTTAATTATTGTCCTGAAGTCTAAGAAATATACTCATTAAATATTTATTTATTCTCAAGTCTTACTTATTTTTAGATCCGTACAGGAATATTATAATTTTCTAATTATTAAAATTAAGATAACTAAATAATTATTAATTATGTTGAGGAATTGTACTTCATGAAATGTAATTGAAAATGTATTTCATAATGGGATTTATTTATCTATTTTTTTTTTAAATATTGAATTTTAATTTTTCCATAATATTTAATAATAACAATTAAATCGATATTGTAGTTTTCATTTATTTTATAAACTCCAGATATAAAGGTAAATTTGCTTAAATGACGAATTCTCAGTACCATCTTGATTAAGCAGCGTAAATGAAAGATATATTGTATGTGTTGATAAGAATATATTAATTTGAAAAAATAATTTTGAGACATGGACTTTCATTCTTATTAATTTTGAAATATAATCCATATCATTTAATTAATTCTTCGTTTTTAAAAAATATTTTTCTTAATTTAGATAATTATTATTAAATATTTATTTTATTAATAATAATAATAATAATAATTATGTTCTATGTTATCTAATATGAGTTAATTATAATAATAAAAATTAGAAATTTAATACATAATTATATTTCTAGGGTTTTATATATATATATATATATATATATATATATATATATATATATATATATATATATATATATATATATATATATATATTATAATAATAAATAATAAAGCGTCATAAGAAATAAGAGGGTTTAATATAAATTATATAAATATCCACATCTGAACATTTTTGAAGGATCCCTAGCCTGCAATACCGTCCAGCTATGCGGTTTAGTATCTTTTTTAATTCGTTTTGGCAATATTAGGGATCATATACATCACCAATAATATTGAATTTTCAAATACATTGTAATATTTATTCGATGAATAAATGAAAATTTATATTTCCAAATATTGGGCCACGGTATTTTTAATATTTGAAATTAGTAGAGATATAAATATCTTAGTATCAATAAAAAAAATCAAAATATTCGAACTCGGTGTTTTTGGTATTTTAAGAAATACTAATTAGAGGATTAGTACTGAATTATCGCCTTAGATTCATGGCCTTAATAGTAACAATTAAATATTTACACATTTATGTAAAATAAATACCAACTTACAAGGATGTATCGATCAAGAAGAAATTAATCAGCAGTGACTAGACAGAAATAATTAATTAAATTGCTTGAACATAAACATTTTTATTAAAATAAAGATGGAGGAAAATCGATATGTAATGAATTAATTAAAAAGCTATTAAAGTATTAACATTTATTATTAAAAAAATTCTCACGAAGATCTAAAAAGAGATTAATTAAATTGCTTAACATGACATTATATTAAAAAGAAAAAAGGAATCAATTATGAATGAAACCTTTTTAAATTAATAAAACTCCCATAAAATTAAAGTTATTAATAAGATGGGAAATCATTGAATTGATATTTACTAGGTATTTTTTTTTAAAGTTATGTAACCATCCGAAACCTCTTGTTTCCAATCTTGTTTCCTCTTCTATTCCTGATAACCCTCCGAGGCGTCTCAAAAGAAGATGGGCTCTGGACCTTCTAATATAGAAATATAATTGGAGCGCTACCAATGCGTATTTACTCTTCACGATGTACATGTCATGTTACTTGTTTCATATTTACTTGTTGTATTTATCATTTAATACAGTTTTAAATTTCAATGACAATAAAAAAAAGTAATGCCGTTCTGATACTTTAGCTAAGCCGGTTTCCTTGTTAAGATTTAATTTTTTTTTTTCGATGGTAAAATTTTAATATTGATATTTTTCTAACTTTACTACAGAAGCACGATCGGTGGATAAACATTATGTATATCGACAATAAAAGCCAGCTGTTTTTTTTCCCCCTCTCGGAAGGGACATGAATATTTAGCTAATATCTTCGACGTGAATGAAGAAATGCATTTTTCTTTACTGGAGCAACAACGAAATTTTTATCACTTCCAAAACATGGAGTTTTATTGTTTTTCTATTTCTTTGGAATCAGTTCTGCTCATTTTTCGATAGATGACCCTCTAATTAGTGAATATGATAACAGTAATGGGATATTGATCGGAAATTAATTAAACGGTCGAGCTCCAACATTAGCGAAATCACGTCGTACTATCCGGAACTTCATCTTGATCAGAAGCATTTCAGTAGTCAACGAACGTTTCCTATTTAATAATTGAATAGCTATATTATGTCACAAATGAAATTATCCATAAAGACCTCAACATTCTTCTTGTTGAAGACTTGGCCCAAACTCGATATACCTCTTTTAATTCCAAACTCTTTGGCCAACCAATCCTCTAGTTCATAACCTTACATCCAAAACAATTCCTGACAACCCTCCGAGGCCTCTGAAAGGAAGATAGCCAAGGTACCTAATCTTTGAAATATTACCAATGGGTAGCTTCTTCACAAATACTTATCATGTTATATATTCCTATAGCAGATTTATTTGTTGTATGCATGCATACAGTTGTAAATTTCAAGAAGTATGAACAAATAAAAATAAATAATTGAATGATTGTATGAGAAAATACGAAATAATATAAATATCGGTATAAGCATATTGTCTGAAAAGAAACACAAGAAGAAAAATATTGCGCATTCACTCTCTATTAGAGATGAGAATTATCTTTATCTTTCTCTACTCATAAGAAGGTGATCCACAGTTCGTAACAAAAAGCAATCGCAGACATTAGCGGCACTTGGAGATGAAACTATAGTTAAATGAATCTTCTAATTAATTGCTGGATAAAAGAAGAAACAGAATATAATGAATTCCAGAATTAGCAAGCATCTCGTGGATGAGCTTTTGGAGCGATTCCATCCAACTACTGGGAGAATCCCGGTCAGAACAATTAATTATAGTGACAACTTGGAGAAGTCTCAGAATCTGCCTCAATTTGTCTCTTTTTTTCTGTTCCCGTCGTCCTAGATAGGTTGCTACAAATATGGTCTCAAGAATCCAACTTCCGATTTTTTATATTAGGAAAATTTAAAGTAAAAGGATTTAATTTTTTAATATTAAAACAATAATGATAAGTAAGTTAAAAATAATGTGTTATTTTTCTCACAGACCCGGGTTTTACGTCTGGTTGTACCTTTATAAATTATGTACTCTTAATAGGAAATACTTGGATGTTGAGTATGACCATGGCATAATCACCTTGTATAATGGTTGGCTAAAATCA